TGATAGATAGAATCTGATTAGGTTAAGAGAGCTTCCTTGATTGATAGTGGTGAATTGGTTGTGCGAGAGTCAATCAATTCACTGCTTTGTACTGGAATTCATTCCAGTAGTGGAGATCTGTGTGAATAGCCTTAGTAGTCTATCCCGGTGAAAGCTAGTCGCCTGCCGGGTATTCTGCCTAAGAGGGCTTGGTCAGCTTAAGAGATTCCAAGCTAATTTAGGATCTTCCGCAGTTTAATCAACAGTAGATCAACCAAAGGTAATTGCAACTTGGACCTAATTGAGGAGCTAGGGGGAATCATACCTAAGTGAGTTCCCAACTTGTAATTAGTAGAGTAATTAGTATAGTAGTTTAGTAAATCAATCATTAATATAATTTGCTAGATAATGAACTGAAGCTGAGTAATAGTAACTCTAGAGACCCGTGGATTCGATATTTATTACTTGTGCCACTATAGTGCATTTCCTTTCATTGGTTACACTTGGCCATTGTTAGGTGTTGTGTCGTAGCGTGTCACCTTCTTAGCTGGCATGTGAGATCCTTTAGTGAGGCGTAGGTGGTATTGCAGCGCCTCAAGCAAGTACTCTTCCTGTTTCAATGTCAGTGAACAAGGAATAATAACAGGAAGATTGAAATCCTTACCCAAATATCTATACTTGAGGTGATCTGGGAAGGATTTATGTCCTTGCTTTGATTTCAGAATCTGAGCTGATAGGACATGTGATCGTTCTTCTGGTGGTCTACTATCATAGCAGGAGGAATTTTTCTTTTCTCGATCTCCACTTTCAAAGTCATCAAATGCATCGTCATTATGATCAACTTGAAAGACATTAAAAGTTTCCTCCTCCTTACCTACTCTGAATGTCAATTTGTCTCTCCCGACATCGATGAGTGCGTCGTAAGTGGCTAGAAAAGGTCTACCAAGAATGAGAGGCACTCCCCGATCTTCTTCCATCTCAAGAATGACAAAAGCTGTTGGGAGAATAAACTTTCCCACCTTCACCAATACATTCTCCACCACTCCCTTTGGAATTTTCACTAATCGATCAGCCAATTGGAGTGTGATCCGAGTAGGCTTAAGAACATCTCTCAATTCCAATTTCTTGTAGACTGAGTATGGCATCAAATTAATTCCTGCTCCAAGATCACAAAGTTATTTATCGAACTCTCTACCTCCAATGACACATGGAAAGGTGAAGCTGCCCGGATCATCCCTCTTTTCTGGTAATTTATTCTGAATCGCAACACTACATTCAGAAGTAAGGGTTACCTTCTCTAGATCAGCCCATTTGCGCTTCTTTGTCAGCAACTCCCTTAAGAATTTAGCATATGTAGGCATCTGTTCAAGTGCCTCCGCCAACAGTATGTTGATATGAAGTTGCTTGAAGATATTCACAAATTTCTTGAAGTTTGGGTTATCCATGGGCTTCATTAACCTTTGAGGGAATGGTGCGGGAGGTTCATAAGGCTTTACCTCTTCATTCTTGAATTTTTCCACCTTTGGAGGTGCACAGCCAGAATGCTCATGCACAGGCAAATTGCATGCAGTTTGCCTGTGCAAGTCAGATTTTTCAGCTTTTGCACTTTCTTCATCCTCTACCTCTGCAACTCCTTCTTTTTCAGATTTTGTTGTCTTACTCGAACTCTCTTGATCCTCCAAGGCCTTTCCACTCCTCAATTTGACTGCCACAACCATGGCATCCTTTGGATTTCTCTCAGTATTTGCCGGTAAAGTCCCAGGAATCCTACCTTGAATATCTGCCAAAGTTTGAGCCATCTGGCCTAGTTGCCTCTCCATAGCTAGCATACTAAATTGCATATTATTGTTGATGGCTAGCTGTTGAGTGACAAATTGATCAAGACCCTTGAAATTATTGTCTGTTTTCTGCATATGAGCCAAAATCAACTCCTCCAGCTGGGGCTTCTTCTCTGGTTGAGGCTGCTGCTGTTGAAAACCAGGAGGTGGGATGTTTCGAACACCAGCTGGATTATTATTTGACCATGACATATTGGGGTGATGTCTCCATTGAGGGTTATATGTATTTGAATACATACCACCCTGGCCTTGACTTCGCGGATTATTGATATATTGGACATCTTCCAACTGAGCAACTCCCAGTGGACACATATCCTGTAACACCCCAGTATTTTGGTTTTAGGTTCGACCTTAATTTGATATATTGGACATCTTCCAACTAAGCAACTCCCAGTGGACACATATCCTGTAACACCCCGGTATTTTGGTTTTAGGTTCGACCTTAATTTGAAATCGGTTGGATTGACGGTTGCGTACTAAGAGTTACAATCGCGGATTAAGAATAATAATATTTATTATTATATAAAAAAATTATAAGCAGTGGGGCGCGACCAAGAGGTCGGACGCCTCCACTCTTCCTCCCCATCTAAATTCCCAAAACCCCTCCTGTAATTACCCCATCCCGCCACCAAGATAAAGAAAATTCCCCCAGCCGCCCCAAAGCAGCAGCACCACCCGCGCCGCAGAGAAGAAAGAAGAAGAAGAAAGGGAGGGAGCCGTCGCCTCCCTGTGCCCCGACCCCATCCCTTTCGTTCTAGATAAGGATCACGAACCCCTTCGCGATTTCTAAACTCGCTTTATCGATAGTCTAATCCGAAGCTCGGTTTTATTTTATTAGCGGTGACGTTGAGGGTTCGATCAACGTCCCGGGTCATCCAACCTAGGCCTAGGCACGTTCTAGAGGTAAGGGAACTCGAACCCTTTGAGTTAGATCGATCGATTTGGTGATTTTTCGTGAGGGTGCAATTCTGGGTTTTAGCAACAGGCGTTACAGGCTTTTAGTGACAGATTTTGGGTGGTCACTAAAGCTGCTGAAAATTTCCAGAAACGTATTTTTGGATGTTTTAATTGTTTCGAGTCTCTTTTGGTGTTTTTTCTGGGTTTAATAATTTTATAAATTGAGGAAAGTCAAGGAGATGGCTTTAATTTAATTTGGGGATTTTTGAAGATGTATTTCTATTTTTAGAAATTTTTCTAACATTCGTTTTAATTAAATAAAAATATTTACAAGGAGTTTATAAGGGTTTGATAATTTTCCAGGGTATAAGTACTAATGATTGATGTAGAAAAATTATTATCCGAATTTTTAAAAAGGTTCAAGTTAGGTGGAAAATTCGTCCAAGATAAAGATAATTAAGAAAAATAGTCGGTTTTGAAGGGATTAATTCTAGAAATTTTTAATGAGGGGGTTAAAGGAGCTTTGGAGTGAGGTTTGAGGATGGGACTTTGAGTGGAGGGTGTCTGGGTTGATAAAAAGGAGGCTTTTAAATAGAGAAAGGTTGTCTTAGAGTATGAATTTCTTATTAATAGATTTCCTGGGATAATCCGGCTAAGGAGGGAAAGAAGGTGAGAAAGTTAGCAGTCGATCGAACTTCGTAGTCTCGCGTGATGAAGAGGTTCACACCGATTAGGAGGGGAAGAGCCGCGTCTATTAGAGGCGGAAGGAAGGCCGAGAACTCGACATCGATGATCGCAACTGGCGGGGGTAAAGTGATGGAGAGGCACCGACCCTATCCTCCCAGACAACCCGGGGTGTCGGCAATTCGAAGTTGGCTGCCTAATTGTAGCCCGAGGAGGGACCTTGAAGAGAATGGCGGCAGAGCTCCAATGGTTAGGGTCGTTGAAGAGGAAGACGATGAACCGATAGAGGAGGAGCCAAAAGAGGAAAAACGCGCGGGGCTTGAGCTTGAGAATGCAGACGTTGATGCGACTAATGAGGTGAGTGTAAAGGGGTAAAATCTCTGTCGAGGTCTTTTTAGTTTATGCTTTTCGTTCAAGTTATTAATTAGTTAATTTTTGAGTAATGTGCGATGTGTGTGTGAGGCATCCCACCGGCTGTAAGGGTGGAGGCACACGCGTTGTGCTATGTATGAATGTATGGATGTATGATTGTAATAATTGGTTAATGTTAAGAGGAACCCCTGGGCCGTTGGGCCACTACTGGACGTGGTAGATGGTCGGGTCACTGCTGGACGGCGAGACGTAACACAGCAATTGATCGAGTATGTTGGGTCACTTCTAGACAGCGAGACGTAACGCAGTAGTTGACGGGCATGGACTGGACGGCGAGATGTAACGCAGTGCCATTGCCGAGTTTGGGTATGCAACTGGACGGCGAGACGTAATGCGGTTCGCATACTAGGGTAGGGACACCGGACAGCGAGACGTAACGTGGTGGTCCCTTTTGTTGGTGTCTTTGGATTAAGAATATAAGTAAAGGAATTCTAAAGATAAGATAGGAGTAGAGATCTCTTATAGACTGTTTGTTAGTAAAGTTTAAAGGATGAAAGTGAGAACGACTTTCGTCTAAGGAAGACATTCCCCTAATAATGTGTTTAGTAAGGAGTTTGCCTAGAGCTAAGACCTTAGGAAGTAACGACGAGACTGACCCCTTCTCACTCACCAGGTTGAGGATGGTTCAGTGATGGTGGATCCCGAAAAGGAGCGAGGCTAGGCGAGCAGCCGTACCAGCACGGATGAGAAGTCGAGGAGCTTGTGAGGAGTCAAGTTAGAGGAGTTAATTACTTTGTTCATGATTATGAGTTTATGTACTAGAGATTCAATGTTCAAAGATTCTGTGTTAAGTCGTTTTAAGTGTTTGAGTTTGAGAAGTTTGCCCAAGTGTTGGGATTTTTCGTTAAAAATTCTTAAATAATGTCAGTTATTTATTTTAAAATGTGGTTTGGGTTGCTCCGGAGTAACCGGTTTTTGGTTTGAATTATTGTTTGGTTTTTGAAAAGAGACGGGACGTGTCATATCCCTATAATGAGGACCCTCGGAAAGTTCACATGAAGCAACCTCCTCTTGTCTACCAAGAGCAATCTTGGCCAACCTTCGTTCGACTGCATCAAACTTGGAATCTAACTTGGCATCTATCTTGGCTTATAGACTTGTAGCTCTGTCAACCTCGTGCAAGTCTTCTCTTCTTCGAATACTGCTCTCACTACCCCATTCAGTGGCTTCTCAACATATCTTCTCTACTAGATCATATGCTGCTGGTGCCTCCATGCTTGTGAAACCATTTCGTGAAGCGTTATTAAGGGCACCCCAGAACTCCCTTCTAATTCCATTGAAGAAAATAATGATCACGTTCCAATCTTCAAGATCATGACTTGGACATCTCATCAACAGCCCCTTGTAGCTCTCCCATGCCTTAGTTAGACTCTCATCATCAGCCTTCTTAAAGGTAACAATCTCTTCTTGCCTCTTCATTGTCAAGGCAGGTGGGAAGTACTTATCCAAAAAGACCTTCTCAAGCTGAGCCCATGTCGTGATGGAACGTGGTGTTAAGTTCTGAAACCAGTGTGATGCATTCCCTAATAGAGAGAATGAGAACATCCGTAGGCGGATTGCATCATCAGACACATTTGGGCTCTTCATGGTATCGCATATGCTCACGAACCGACGAAGATGTTCATGAGGATCCTCACTGCTAGCCCCATAGAAAGTATACTCGTTGATGATCATGTTGATGAATGCTAGGGTAATCTCCATGGTTGCATCCCCAGCCGGAATGACAACACATGAAGCTCGGGCTCCAGTCCTTCGATTCAAGCGAGCCCTTATCGAACGATCCTCTGCCATGATGACAAGCTCGATGTCGCGCGGTGGTGGTAGTGGTGTAGGGACGACACGTGATGAAGCCTGCCCTCTTTGTTGACGATTCTATGTTAGGGAAGGCCTAGGAGTTGTGGTTACGATTGGCTGCTTCCCTAACTTGACCTGCTTCCTGTTCTGTCGGCAGGTCTCTCTATATCCGGATCTAGTGGCAGTAAATCGTCGGTCGTCCTCCTAGGCATGCACAAAAATGATAAACCTGAAAATTCACCTGCACAATAGCACACGGATTAAAACAGTTCACTCACAAAAATCAATAAAAATAAGGTATGGCAGTCCCCGTGAACGGCGCCAAAAACTTGACAGGGCAAAAGTGTAATGCCTCAATCCTATCTCGTAGTAAAACAGGAAAGTCCAAGTATCGTCTCTCATGGACTGGTACAACCTTATAATATATCAATTCTATGAGCAAACTATAAGTGAAAATAGTTTAATGAGACTAATTTCTAAAATCAAAATAAACTAAACAAATTAAGCAAATGAAAACTGTCGGGAGAATTTCAATGGAGAAAGCTATGGGAGAAACACCGGGACTCACTGCCTATCCTATCCAGATAAATTCACATATTCCAATCAGTTTAATCCATATCTCTACAGCCAGGATATCACTACTATGCTAGCTATCCCTGTCGCGAATTACTACGGACTAAACAATTAAATCAAATCCTACTGTCGTAGCTCATTGAGTTAATTATTTAGCCTGGAGACCGATATCCCAATCACGACCGCATAGTCCCTTATTTAATCCACTGTCACTTCGATAAGTTACTATGTCACATGAAATAGATTCAGTTAATAGGGTTTCGTTGTCGCTAATAACCTAATTAACTACAAATCATTGTATTGGTGGCCAGTCAACACAAAGTATTAATCAATTCCATGCAATAGAGATTGGAAGAAAATTATTATGAATCAATCATTCAAGTCTAAAAATAGCTACATCCTATGGTGTTTCCCCCAGAAATTGGGGTTTAGTTGATGACGAAATCAAAAGATATAATCATGTTCTTAATCATCATGTCACGAATCAAAACAAAAGGAAAATAATACTGAATTTGTCGAAGGTAATCCGGCGACAATTCCTTCTTGCTCTGATCGCCACTATGCTGCTCCGTGAGTCTCCGCCTTTCCTTCGCTGCAGCTATTTCAATTCTTCCCCGCGCTCTCCGTTAATTCCCGGTCTCAGTAGCTTCCCCTTCTCCAAGAATTCCCCTCCACATAATTCTAAAAAAACATCGCAATTCTTTTTTCCTCCTCCTTGTTTCGTCCCGGTCCAAGTATATATATATCCTCCTCCGGTCCAATAATCCCCTGCTGCCTTTGTCCAATTCTTTTCCCCTGCCAAAAGAATTCCTTGTCCCAGTAAATCTCCTGACAAGAGAAATGGTCCCAATTAATTATGGTTGGTCCAAATAAATGGACCATGTCCACTTAATTCCTCTCCAAAGCAATTTTGTTCTGGCCGCACTCCAATCCATCAATTCTCGATCCAATTTCATCTCTATCCAAGGAATTGGCCCATTTTTAATCGTTCGAGCTGCTAGGTCCAATTTACCGCCGAAGCAAAATTCATCTGGGTCGATTATTTCATTTTTCTAGTGCCATCCTTGTCTACTTGTGCCACCATCTTTTCATGTTTTCTTCACCTGAAATGCATCAAACTCATGGTACTAGGCGGTAATGGTTTTCAACCATTCCAAAGTCAATTGGCCTTAAAACAAGCATTGTATCTCTCAAACATATCATGATATAATCACATTAAACACATAGAATCAATATGTTTTCGACAATTATCAACGATAAATCATTATTACTTGCTTTCGCTATGCTACACCCCGTCACCGGTTATACTTGCCCGTCGATCGGGATGTTGTAGTGTACTATCCAACATATTTGTCACTAGTGGTACCATTAGTAGCACATATTATACCTCTAGAAGGAGAAAATAAAACCGAAGATAATCCTACAAACCGAAATTAGCAACTAATATATTTGCTGCAAATTCCCAATTACGAGTTTTTCTTGTAGTGATGGCCAACTGATCAGTGATGCAAAAACAGCAAAAAAATGCAAAATACGAGACTGATGCTTCGCTGGACTATCACTAGATTCCACTTCAAATCCAAAATTACCACCAGATTTTTATGCCCTAATCCACCGCTTCATGATTAAAGTAAAAGGAAGGTTCTCGAACTTCACATTTCAACATTTCATGTTGTAGACCGTAACAGGTCATATGCACCGCATTAATGGATGCACAAAAAACCACTCAACTCCCACTAGCGGCATGAAAACTTATATTCATCATAGTCAAAATCAACCATCAACAACCTAGTATCAAACCCTGAAATGTTTGGTACCAATGTGAAGACATCAAATGCCCTTCCATTTCCTTCTTGCACTAACTACTATTAGAAAACAATATTATATGAACAAGATTGCTTGTACTACTCTTGTAATAGCTCAAATATTTTTAGCATTTATATATCAGCAACCTGCTTAACAAGAGCACTACACAAGAACCTAGAATTAGTTAACCAGAAATTGTGTAATACTCTTTGTCATGACTGTTTATCTATGGATCGGAAAATAGGAGAATTCGATAATGCAAAAAAATGAAAGCACAAACACACGACACACGATTTACATGGTTCACTCACAATGTGTGTTAACTAGTCCACGGGCAGGAGAGAGCCAGTTTCACTTTACTTCAAGGAGATACAGATTACAAAGAAGTGTGAGAAGTATTTATAGTACTTCTCCTAGATCAAACCTAAATCCAATCTGGCAAAGGAAAATTAGTTATAGACTAGACCCAGAACACGAATCCAAACAACAGCGAGACACTGTGACTTTCATTTGTAGCGGCTGATAGTCCGATACAAGTCACATCAACAAATCTCCACCTTGACTTGAATCCTCTTCCTCTGCAAATCACTTATGTACTCTGATCCTTCTCTCCCTCCCGCCATCAATGCCCCTTAGGGCACAATCGCCCACTCAAGACATTCAGCAAGTCCAAGCAGTGTTGGAACTTGCCATGTGGAACAGGTTTCGTGAACATGTCAGCAGGATTATTCGGCTTCGTGAACTTGCCATGTGGAACTGGCTTCATGAACTGAGTAGTGATGGAACCTCACATTGATGTGTTTAGTCCCCTCATGGTGGACTTGATCCTTGGCCAAGCATATTGCACACCAATGTGTGATCATGAAGTAGACCCAGATCACCAACAAGTCCCTTTAACCATATTCCCTCCTTAGCAACTTCTATCAACGCCATGTACTCTGATTTGGTAGTAGACAATGTCATTATCGACTGCAGAGTTACCTTCCAGCTCATTGCAAAACTCCGAAGAGTGAATACATAACCGGTCATCGATCTCCTCATGTCAACGTCTCCAACATAGTCAAAATCTGAATAACCAGCCATTAAGCACTCTGTATCACTTTGGAAGCTAATCCCCATATTAGACGTACCCTTAAGGTACCGAAAGATCCTCTTCACAACTTACCAATTCTCCTTCCCATTTTGAATCATGAACCTACCGACAACACTAACAGCATGTTCAAGATCAGGTCTAGTGCATACCATAGCGTACATCAAACTACCAACTGCACTAGCATATGGGAGTCTCGACATGTACTCCTTCTCAACCTCTGACAACGGTGCATAAACTGAGGATAGATGAACATTTGAAGCACTACGAGTCTTCATGGGCTTTGTAGAAGACATGCCAAACCTAGACAATATCTTCTGGATGTAGCTCTTCTGTGACAAGAACAACTTCTTCTTTGACCTATCCTTGTAAATCTCCATAACCAAAATCTCTTGAGAAGCTCCCAAATCCTTCACCTTAAACTCAGCACTAAGAACCCCCTTTAACTTCTGGATATCAGACTTTGACCTCGTAGCTATGAGCATATCATCCACATATAAAACTAGAAATATCATCAAACCATCTGCAGCCTTGCTATGATATACACAACAATCGTAGGGACTTCTGTTGTAGCCCAGCTCAAGAATGTAGCTGTCGAACTTCTTATACCACTGCCTCGGAGATTGCTTAAGTCCTTACAAGGACTTCTTCAACTTATAAACATAGTCTTCTTTTCCTGGAACTTGGAAGCCCTCTAGTTGATTCATGTAAATCTCCTCTTCTAACTCTCCATGTAGGAAAGCTGTCTTCACGTCTAGTTGCTCGAGCTCTAAGTCATAATGTGCCACTATCGCTAGTAGCACCTTGATCGAAGTATGTCTGACCACTGGTGAGAAAATCTCATTGTAGTCAACTCCTTCCCTCTGCGAGAATCCTCTTACAACTACCCAAGATTTAAATTTAAATCTCTCTTCAGAAGTGATTCCTTCTTCTTTTAGATCCTTTTGTTTGTTACAATCTTTCTTCCTTGTAGACGTTTGACCAACTCCCAAGTCTTATTCTTGTCATGGGATTGCATCTCTTCTCCCATTGCAGCATGCCACTGAGCGGCTTCGCTACATGAAACTCTTCTTTGTAGGGTTGTGGTGCACATGTGATAGGGCAAAAGCGTATATGCCAATTTCCTATCTCGTAGTAAATCGGAAAGTCCGGGAATCGTCTCTCAGGGACTCGTAAAACCTTTTATTCTATCAATTTATAGAGCAAACTATAGGTGAAACTGGTTTGGTTGATGAAATTATTATCTAATAGCAAAATAATTAAACAAAAAAAGCAAATTAAAATGGTCGGGAGAAATTCAATGGAGAAAGCTCTGGGAGAAACAACGGACTCGCTACCTATCATATCAAAATTAATTAACATATTCTAATCAGTTTAATCCAATTCTCTATAGCCAGGATATCTCTATTGTGCTAGATATCCCTGTCGGGAATTACTACGTACTAAACAATTAAATCAAATCTTACTGTCGTAGCTCAATGACTTAATTATTTAGCCTGAAGACCGATATCCTAATCAAGACCGCATA